TGCGTCAGTTTCCTCATCTATCAAATGAGCTGGAGAAGGAAATGGCAAACCACTCCAGTATCTCTGCCAAGAAAACCCCAAATGAGGGGTTGGACAAGACTGAAATGACTGAACAGCAACAACAAAGGGAATTCTTGATGAGGAAACACCAGCAGCTATCCACAGCTATTCTGTAATCTATGTCTTAGAGAATTGACTGGACCACTGAGCAGTCAAATGACTTATCCAGGGACACACAGCCAGTAGGTGTCAGACTAGAACTCAGGACTGCAGGGACAGCTCTATACCCACTGCATCACACAGCCTCTATATAATTTCTTTTAATTTAGCCATTAACAATAATTTTCTTCTTGTCTTAGTAACAAGGTCTAGTTTTTTTTCATATAAAAGCAAAATCAAGCAGAAAAGATGATCCAGCTAAAATCATATTTAGAGAATCCCAGTCATATAGATCATAACCCAGATACATAATGACAACTACTTAAATTGCAGGCATGCTACCTCGAAGGAAATGACAACTTTTATTTCTTTTCCTCTAGATTTAGTATTTCCTCTTTGGAGCAGATAATTACGAGAGGAAAAAGAAAAAGCCTTGAGTCAGTCTTAGATAACTTTTTTCCCATCACGGTCTTTAAAACTGTCCTCTAGAGACACGATTGTTTCCATATGATGAACTTTGTGGTACAAACCCTTTCCCCCCAGCATTGCAGAATAGCCCCCTGATGCAAGGCCGCTGGCTGTCATCTGGGCTCCCAGCTCAACCTTGATGTGGATTTAGGGGCTAAAGTCATCTTGCCTTGCAAAACAGGAAAGGCTAGAATGTCCAAGCACATTCCTCCAAGAACAGTAAATACAATCTTTGCCAATAAAAATTCTGCCCAGTCCAGAAAGAACTCTCAAAACTCCAGCCCTACCTCACTGACCACCAGGAGAAGATGGTCAGCTCGTGGGCTTCAAAATGTTGGAGAAGGGAAGTTTGCTTTTAGGACCAACCCATCCCCCATTCAATGCTACTTTTACTGCTAGGACCCCTACTTCTGCTGGGGATCCTTGTCTTCTCCCCCTACCCCATGCACCTGCCTTGGGTCTCATTCCTACAGGACCTTGCTCTCAGCCGTCTATCCCCTTGGAAGTAACTGTGAAATTCACTCATAATAAGATGTAAATGACTTATGGGGTTTGTTTCTTTTTTTTTTTTTTTTTTTTGCCTCTCCCAGAGGCATTTGCATTTAATCTGTGGGCATCTCTAACCAGAAGGAAAGAGCTTTCATGGAAGAATGATGTTAGACACCATGATGAGCTGTAGAGATAATTCAGGAGCAAGAGCTTTTTTTCCCATGTTCCTTATCTCACACCATTTAAGCAGCTATATAAAGCCACCACTACTTATAAGTTGCGTTATTCAGTTGTTTCTCTCAGGTCTGACTCTCCGTGACCCCATCTGGGGTTTTCTTAGCAAAGATACGAGAGTGTTTTGCCATTTCCTCCTCCAGTTCATTTTATAGATGAGGAAACTGAGACAAACAGGGTGAAGTAACTTGCCCAGGTCACACAGCTAGTAAGTGTCTGAGGCCGGATTTGAACTCAGGGAGAGGAGTCTTCCTGACTCATGGCACCACTTAGCTGTCCCCTTACAAATACTTTCATATATCATGGGATCACAAGTTTACAGCTAGAAAGGACCTTGGTGGCCGTGTAGTTCAACCCACTCATTTCACGGATGAGGAAACTGAGACCTAGATAGGTGAAACGACAGAGGCAGGATTTGAATGCAGGCCATTCTCTTTCTATTGCACCAAAGATCCCATTTCTAGATCCTGGTGATGAGCCAAGATACACAGAGGAGCACCATGGGCACTCCAGAAGTACCTCTGGCTGGCTCAGCTGCCAATCAATCTGCATCGTGCCCAACACTAATGGGCAGCCATCCCAGTGTTGATTGATGGACTGGCCAGCAAGGGACTGGAGCAATGGAAAACAGCAGATGAATCCCTCTCCTCTGGAGTGGGAGGGAGGAACTTCTAGCTGAGACCTCAGTGTCATGGGCTCATATAGCTTTCTTTTTTCTTTTTCTCAACTGCACATAAAAATACTTTTTTAATGTTCATTTTAAAATAATATTTTCCCCCAATTACATGTAAAAATAATTTTTTTTTGCTTTTTTTTTGGTGAGGCAATTGGGTTAAGTGACTTGCCCAGGGTCACACAGCTAGTAAATGTTAAGTGTCTGAGGTTGGATTTGAACTCAGGTCCTCCTGACTCCAAGGCCAGAGCTCTATTCACTGCGCCACCTAGCTGCCCCTTAAAATTTTTTTTAACATGATTTTTTTAGGTTTTGGGTTCCAATTTCTGCCCTTCTTTCCCTTCCCTCCCCCTTCCCTGAGATGGTAAGTAATCTGATGTAGGTTATACATATGCAGTCATAAACATTCACTTTTAAAAATTTTGAGTTCCAAATTCTCTCCCTCCATCCCTCCCCTCCTGCCACCCTGAGAACGCAAACAATTTGATACAAGTTATATATATGAAATTATGCAAAACTTATATCCATATTAGCCATGTTGCAGAAGAAAACACAGACAAAAAAAACCAAGACCAAGAGAAATAAAGTAAAGAAGAAGTATTCTTTAATCTTCTTTCAGACTCCATCAGTTCTTTCTCGGAGGTGGGTGACATTTTTCAGTATAAGCCCTTTGGAATTGTCTTACCCTGGCAGCAGAAGCACACGGCTTGCTCAGCATGTTCTTCTGATGCAATCACTATGTCCGCTTGTGAGCACGCACAAGCATTGTCTTGGGTCCGTTTGCTTTGTGAAGAAAAAGAGCCTTTCGATTGGCTGTTGAGCAGGAACGGAGAATGCTTACAAAAGACCTTAACCCACCCGCGTATTTCTTCTCTCCTCCCTAACTTTGACTGAGGAAAAGCAAATTGTAAACTTCCGAATGGGAAAAGAAGCCTCAGGCCCCAATCTAACCGTTTGAGTCCACACATGACCATGAATACAAGCCTCTTTTATTACCTGATTTTTAGGTTCCAGAATAGTGGAGATAGCTATGGCCTTGGGAGCCTTGACAGGTGGAGAGAGCAAAGGAATATCCCAACAGACAATTTCCCAGCACAACCCACACTCCCGAACACAGAAGTGAACTTACTAGACAAACATTCATAGAAGGTCCATTAAGTTTGAGCCCACCATGCCTCTAGAGAACAAGGTGGTATAAAAGAGAGTGTGACTCTGGGCTTTGGGGGAAAATGTTTGTACTTCTGTTTATGCTATGCCTTCTCAGTAAATATCTCTTTGTAACAGTGGAGGGGGGACCACTCCAAAACTAGAGAAACTCAAGGCAGAAATAAGCATGTGCTTATATGTGGCTCAAAAGCAGAAGTCCTGAGAGTAAACTTTCCCAAATCAATCAATGATAGCATTTTGAGTTAGATTTCCTCAGAGTGCCCATGGTGGAGAAAGACTGCCCATTCAGTCTGAGGGAATAGTTCATGGACAACGTTTATTGTGTGAAGGAAGAAAGATGCCAAATTCCCTAGGGAGAATGATCCAAAATTTAGCCAAAGGGAAGAAATTTCCTGGGCAGAGCCTCATAAATGATACCAACCTTCAGAATTTCCAACTTTGAGGGTTCCCAAGTTTGGGACTTTGGCGATGATTTCGGGTTTCCCGCAGCAGCGTGCTTTTTGGAAAAAGAAGAACAGAGCCCACATCGTTCCTACTTAAAGGGCAGAGCCTGTAAGTTCTTTGCACAATCCCATCTTCAGGGGTGGGAGGACCTAGGATAGTGGGTAGTGATAGATACACCAAAAAAGCACCAATAGAATATTTTTAAATGGGCAGAAGAAAACAAAAATGAGCACAGAAGGGAAAACAAACAAATACAAAAATTTGGTTATTACTTTCTTAAATTATGTGTATATATTATATATGTATATATATGTACTTGTTAAAAAGAACAAATTAAATTATAGAAACATATTTCTCTTTCTTTTTCTTCATATATTGAAATGTTTGTGTTTGTTGAATGCTTGCCAAGTTCACAATAAATTTTTTTAAATTTAAAAACCATTTTATTTCCTAACAATTACCCTCTCAGCTGCCTGCCCTATAGAATCTTTTTTTTTTAAGGCAATTGGGGTTAAGTGACTTGCCCAGGGTCACACAGTTAGTAAGGGTCAAGTGTTTGGTCCGAGGTCGGATTTGAACTCAGGTCCACCTGACTTCAGGGCCGGTGCTCTATCCACTGAGCCACCTAGCTGCCCCTGCCCGATAGAATCTTGCCTCATCACAAAGAAAAGATTGAAAATTTCTCAAGACCTGGAATCATGTCCCCTCTTGGCTACTCCAAACAAAAAAATGAGAAGAGAGCTAGGCACACAAGGGTGAGCAGGAAAGGACTTGATGAATTATGAATCTCTCTGAAACATCGTATTATACTTAAATTATGATTTGATCAAGCATAAGAAGGAAGCTAAGGCCCATATGTGTCATATTTCTTCCCTCACTCCCAAGTTCCTTTAAACCTGGAAAACTCCAGGGTTTTTACCTCCTCTTTAAGCTCAGGGAAGTCTCTTAGTAGGTCAATAGGTTTCTGTAGGAAACACTCAGAGTGAAATGAATGCTTTGTGGTTCTTTTGGAAAGAGCACTTAAAATCAAAATTTCCCCATACACACTAAAAAGATGTTTTCTTCTTGCTCAACCATATGGCGCTGTTGTAAGGTTGTAGCCCCAGCCAACTGAACCCAGAGGTCTACAAGCCCTACCAAAATCCCAACAGGAATTCCAAGAAGGACGCTTCAGCTGGCTTAAATCTTGCTAAGTCAACACCATCTCTTTCTCAGAGCATTACACCAAGATTCCCAAGGGCCTGGGTTTGAAACAGTTACCCAGATGCTGATGGGAGTTAATTGGTGAACCTTGTTCCAAATGTGTGGACCAATGGGAAAAAAGTATAAAAGACAGCATCATACACCTCTAGAGGTCTCAGGTTGGTGGCCCCATTCTCCTTTCCTCCACACATCTGAACTGACCAGCCAGGAAGCCGGGCACAAAAGCAAACTGGTGGTAAGATTATTTCTGGACTTCTGGAACCTGCAGCTTTTGCTAGAACTGAGTAATGATAATATGGGAGACCGTAGGGAAAGGGTTATTAACCTGGAGTCTGTAGATAGATTTTGGGGGAGGGGGTCTGTGAACTCGAAAAGGAAAAAAAAATATATCATTATTTTCATTAACCTCTAACTGAAATTTAGCATCAATCTCTAATATGAATTAATGATTCTGAGAGGTAGTCTATAGACTGCACCAGACCACCAGGACACAAAAACAGATTAAGAACCCCGGCAGTAGGTAAAGTGAAGGAAAGACTGTAGTTTCCTGGTGAACTGGGAGCAAAACTCGGGACCTATTGAGGTACCACTACTTTGGACTGCACCTATTTTGGCCTCAGTTTCCTCATCTATAAAATAAGAGGGGGGGGTGTTAAGTAGATGGCGTCTGAGGTCTCTTCCGGTTCCAGACTTATGAGCCCATGAACTGATATGAAAACAGAAATCAACCAGGCATGGTGGTGCACACCTGTAATCCCATCCACCAGGAGAAGTGGGAGATCTCTTAAGCATGAGTGTTCTGAGACACAGTGGGCTAATCCAATCAGGTGTACAATAAAGACCTGTGTCATTATGGCGGACTCCTAGGGGAGGAGGGCCAGCAGGTTGCCAAAGGAGGGGAGAACCAGCCTAGGTAGGAAGCTGAGCAAACAGAGCGTAGGTATGAATCGAGGCTCCCATGAGGGTCCATAAGTTGCCTTTAAACTTCTAGCCTAAGGAAGATAGGGAAACCCACTCTTTAAAAAATTATATATATATATATGCATATATATGTATATATGTATATATAATAACATATATGTGCGTGTGCTTCTGTGTATGTATCCATACACGCATATACACACATATGTGTATATATACATGTATGTACACACACATTTCTATACACATATGTATACATATAGCTATATCTCAATACAATATTTTAATAATAAATCTAATTGTGAGGCAAATCCAGTCACTGGAGGGTAAATGAAATCCACACTCATCATGGCAAGGTAAACTATTGTCATTTGATCAGAACATCTATTTGTACAAGTTTCCATTTCAGAAAGTGATGAAATAGGAATTCAAGCTAAGAAATGCTTCGGACAATTTCAGGAAAACGGAAGTTTCTAAAGCACAAAGCATTGAGGCGAAGGGGAAAGAACACTGGGCTGGGAGTCTGGAGGAGTTCTTCTGCGTCCCAGCTTTGCTGTGTGACCTTGGGCAAGGTGCCTAACTTTTCTGGGCCCCAGCTTCCTCATCTTAAAAAAAGAGTGGGGCAATGGAAAAATGACTTCTGATGACCTTCTCACCTGAAGTAAAGGGATGTTTAATTTAGAAATCTCCAGCCTAGCAGTTTCTCTGAGATGTAAATTCATCCGACCTCTGGCTGGATGGGTCTAAATTATACCCTGTGAGCCTCTCTGGGGCCTAGGGGGCCAGTTGTAAATAGCCCTCAGGTGGGGGGAGAAAGAACATTTGGATGGTACTTACTGGTACTGGGGCAGGAGGGAGTATTTCCAAGGAAACTCCCAAAGCATCTGGGTGAGAGAGAACAGGGATAAACACCCTGGGCTGAGGTGACTCTGAGAACAGCATTTGGAAGGAGGAGCCCCAGCAAGCCTGAGAAGGGTAAAGCTGGGGGGTATTAAAGGCTGGAACACAATCCTAGGAATGCTAAATTGCGAGGCACCTTGCAATTTTCAATCTATGTTGCTTTAGGACCTGATATAAGGTTCCCTGGAGTGATTAGCAGCAAAATCCTTAAAAACAAAACAAAACAAAACAAAACAAAACAAAACAAAAAAACCCCACACACACACTTGAAAGAAGGGGTTGTGTGCTGTGTCCAAGACATAGGGTGAAGAATAAGGAAGAGATTTGGGGGGAAATTCAGGCAATGTGAAAACAAAAGATACCATTCTTTAAAAAGGTGGAGTGGGGGAGATGAGGGAAAAGACCTGGATTCTTCCAGAGAGGAAACACTGGGGAAAGAAAGGTCATTGAATGTGGAGTCAGAGGACCTCAATCCTACCCCTCAACCCTGCATGCCCATGTGCACACACATACGCATAGACAGGCGTGCATACACTCACACACGCACACATACACACACACTCACATACATATGCACTCTCACACACATGCACATGCACACATACAATACACACATACACACACACACACACACTCGTTCATACACACACACATACAACCTGTGTGGCTTTGGACAAGTCATTTAACCTCTCTAGGCTTCAGTTTCCTCATCTGTAAAATAGAGGGCCCTTTCCAGCTCTCTAACTAATGTGTGATAATTTTCTATTTATCTTCCTATTTTATGACTGGTTTGATAATAATGAGAGGACGACTGTGCAAATAGAATGGTAGAGGGAAAAGGACATTGGATTTTGACTGAGAAGACCTGGGTAACTCCTAGTCTGGAGGCTCACCTCCAGTCACACTTGTGCGCAAAGGGCAAGAATTCAGAAAAAAGCATCTGAGCTGGGCTGGAGAATCTTCAGATTTGCAGCAGCAACTATTTCTTTTCACCTTCCCCCAACCCCCCTTAATTCATATATATGAGAGAATCAGGTGATCTTGAACTGAGGGAAACCATGGTGCTTTAGAAGAACCTGACTTTCTGACCTTTGGAGGTTTGTTAAAATAGAATTCCCCTCCCTCCAACTAAAAAACAGAAACTCTGAAGAGGAATGCAAATTGGCATTTAGAAATTGACTGATGTAAAAGGGAATTTTTTTATTTTTTTCTAAATACATGTAATGATAGTTTTCAACATTCATTTTTATAAGATTTAGAGTTCCAAATTTTTTTCTCCCTCTCCCTTCGCTCTCCCTTCCCCAAGATGACAGGCAATCTGATATAGGTTCTATATATACAATCATGTTAAACATATTTCCACATTAGTCACATTGTGAAAGAAGAATCAGACCAAAAAGGAAGAAACGTGAGAAAGAAAAGGCAAAAAAGGGAAAATAGTCTGCTTCATTCAGACTCCATAGTTCTTTCTCTGGATATGGAAGCACTTTGGATCATGAGTCTTTTGGAGTTGTCTTAGATCGTTGCATTGCAGAGAAGAGCTAAGTCATTCATAGTTGATTATCACACAATGTTGCTGTTACTATGTACAATGTTCTCGTGGCTCTGCTCACTTCACTCAGCATCAGTTCATGCAAGTCTTTCCAGGTTTTTCTGAAATCCGCTTAAAGGTACTTTCTAAGCTTAAATCAGTTAGAGGCTCAGGTCAGAGATACTGATCCTACTAGCAGGAGGAAGTGAATACAAAAGATGGACTTTTGAGCTCTACTTAGCTGCCTGTCTGCTTTGTGCTCTAAAACAGCTCAGCCACTGGGTTGAGTCTGCTGACAGACTTGTCTCCTCATGGCAAGAAGACTGCTTTCCCTCAGTCCTCTGGCTGTGTTATAGACTATAGCACACAGTCCTCAACTATTAAGAGTTTGCCTTTCTCACAGCTGAAGCTTACCCTCTGGGTTATCAGCAAAAGGGAGAGAAAGCAGAGTCAACTCCTACTATGGGGAATAGGTAACATTTGAGATGCAGACTAGAAGATTGAGGCAGCAAAAAGAGTCCAGCAGAAAGAACGGTGGGGAATTATACAGATGAAAACCATAGAGCAGAAAGCTGAGTCAGCAGAGGAGAAAAATGAAATTACTGGAAAACAGTGGCAGCCCTACTGTGTGAGCAGCATTAGGTTGCCCCTCCACATATGTATGCTGACCACATGCATTATATACATAGGTGACCTGTACCTGTTTGCCCTTCCCACTGAAGGTTAATATATTTCTGGGAAAGAGTGCCACAGATTTATTGAAGGGAAGGCTGGGAGAAGCAGTATCCTGAGGCCTTATCCCTCATTAACTAGGTTAGTTTTCCCTCAAAGGAAAGGCAAAGAAGCAAGATGGTGGGGTCCAGAGATGCAATACAGCGAGGTCCCCTCCAAAACTCCTCCAAACACATCTAGATAAGACACTGGACTGAATCCTGAAGGGGAATGCAAGAAAAAATCCCAGGGAGTTATTTCTCCAGACCAGCTGGACATACCAGAGACAGGAGAGGTCTGTGGACACTGGGGACAGGGTCTGGACAGAAGAGGGCTACATAGAGAGCATTCCCGGGTAGGGAGAAGCTATGCACGAGGGCAAGAAGAGGTGCCAGGCCCATACCCGGGCTAGGGCATCTCAGTGGGCACAGGTATGAACTAGTAGTCTTATCGCTCACCGCACAATTATAGGTCACAGATCCAGGACGGACAAGGGAAGGGGCAGGCCGATGAATCAGAAGCAGCAGCAGCAGCAACGTGAATCAGACCCAGGAGAAGAGCAGGGTCTTGGTTCCACCTTCTAGCCCAGTCTGAAGCCAGCGAGGGAAACCCAAACCAAAACAAACGAACAGAAAACCAACCTATTTTGGGTTTCTCTAATCTATAATGGGCAAAAAAGGAGAATCAAAGAAAAGAAAAACCCTTTGCTCGGGGTGGATGGGAAGACAGCACTAGCAAAAGAGACAAAGCAGTGCCGCTCAGTTCTGTTTTTCTACAAAGAATTCCCTTTAACTCAAAATGGCAAACAACCAGCACCAACCAGGGTCAGCATCTAAGCCAAGGAAGGAGAAGGTCATGAGCACCTCCCTGCCCTCATTGACTGCCCTGGATGGTCCTGAAAGAACCTGGGAGCTGGGAAAATGTGATTGTTGGAGCACCATTGGTAATCTGAAAGGTTATAGAAAAGAGTCAAGGTCCCACAAGACAGGAGAGGGCAAATATCATCGTAATGTCTAACAAAGGAAAGGGAACAGTCAGCAAAGTAGAGATGAATAAATTTAGCTTTGATTTGGGGGGAAATTCTCGAATGAACCATTAGAAACATGCTCTGAACATCTACAGAGGGAATTAGTGATTTAAGGAAGCCAGCATTATTTCATCAAGAATAGGCCGTGCTAGAATTGTCACATTTTATTTTCACAGTATTGCTAATCTAGCGGATGAGGTGAATGCCGTGGGTATAGTTGACCTAGATTTTAGCAAAGCTTTCAATAAAACCTCATCCTGTTCTTGCACAGAAGATAGAGAGATGGAGAGTGGATGATAATACATTCAGATGGCTTCAGAACTTATTGGATGGCCAATTCAAAGAGTAGTTGGTAAAGGTTCAATATCAACATGGCAGGAGGTCTCCAGGGTAGTGCCCTAGGGATCCATGATACGCTGATACATGATAGTTTCTTTTTTTTGATTTAATAGTTTATTTTTCCTCAGTTACATGGAAAAAATTTTTTTAACATTCTTCAACAGTTTTTAACATTCTTTTTTCAAATTTTGAGTTCCAAATTCTTTCCCTCCCTCCTTCGTCTCACCACCTCATTGAGAAGGCAAGCAACTTGACCTAGGTTATATCCATGTGTAGTTATACAAAACACATTTCATGTGAGTCATCTGTGAAAGAAAACAGCAAAAAACCTAAGAAAAGTAAAGTAAAGAAAAATTCTCTTTCATCTATGCTCAGGCTCTTCCAGCTTTTTCTCCGGAGATGGACGATATTTTTCATCATAAATCCTTCAGAATTGTCTTGGGTCATTGTACTGCTGCGCATAGCTAAGTCATTCATAGTAAATCTTCATACAATATTGCTATTACTGACTGCAATGTTCACCTGCTTATGCTCATTTCACTTTGCATCAGTTCTTATAAGTATTTCTAGGTTTTTCTGAGAGCACCTGGCTCATCATTTCTTATAGTGCAATGGCATTCCATCACAATCACATACCATAACATGTTTAGCCATTCCCCAATTGGTGGACATCCCCTCAATTTCCAATTCTTTGGCCCCTCTGAAAGAGCTGCTATAAATTTTTGTACATATAGGTCCTTTTCCTTTTTGTTTTTTTGTCTCTTTGGAATACAGACCTAGTAGCGGTATTGCTTGGTCAAAGGGCATGCATGGTTTTATAGCCTTTGGGCATAGTTCCAAATTGCTCTCCAGAATGGTTGGATTAGTTAACAACTCCAGCAACAGTGCATTAGTGCCCCTATTTTTCCACCTCCCCTCCAACATTTGTCATTTTCCTTTTCTGTCATATTAGGCAATCTGATGGATGTGTGGTGGTAGCTCAGAGTCGTTTTAATTTGCATTTCTCTAATTAATAGTGATTTAGAGCATTTTTTCATATGACTATAGATAGCTTTGATTACTGTCTGAAAAGTGCCTGTTCATATCCTTTGACCATTTATCAATTGAGGCTCTTACAAATTTGACTCAGTTTTCTATATATTTGAAAAATAAGGTCTTCATACATGATGGCTTCTAACAAGTGGAGTGAACAAGACATTCCTGAGCTTAAGTGTCATGGGCATAGCATAGGAGCTCACAGTTCATTTAGTCTCATTTAAAAAATGAGACTGAGGTACTTGAGACGACTAGAGAACAATAAATGACAAGCATATGGTCCAGTGGTACATTGTGTAGGAGATCAGAAAGAAGGATTCAGGGTGAGCTGGGAAAGCTTACCAAGGAAGATAGAGATCTGGGTTGGGTGGGTGGGTGGGAAGAATTTGGACCCATTCCTGAGCTGACAGGGTTGTAAAGAGACCCTCAGAAGCCACCTGCATAGATGAGCTCAGCCCCCTAGTTGCCGCCCATCCCCTCTTAACACTGATGTTTATGGATGTGAATTCCAGGGTTCGTGATGGCACCATGGACCAGTCCCCTGCTGTGTTTGCTGTTGCTGGCTGTGTTGTGCCACTGCTCGGAGCCCACCCACTCCAAAGAGGATCTGCAACCTTTACCACCCAAGGGGGCTTGCATAAACTGGATAGGGGGTGCCCCAGGCCACCCTGGCTACAATGGGTCTCCAGGCCGGGACGGGAGAGATGGTATCAATGGTGAGAAAGGGGAGAAAGGAGATGCAGGTAAGCTCAAAGGCCATATCTCTTCCTGGGTTTCATTCTAACCTTCTGAGCAATTCCATGAAGCAGGTTAGAGAGACTGCATCAGGGTCATGCATGAAGTTAAGTGGAATATCACTGTGGACATTGTCGCAAATCGTACAGCTACAGTTTAAACTGAGAATCAACCGATCAACATTTCTTAAGTTATAAAGACAAAAACGATGGTCCCACCCCTCCGGGAGCTTCTATTCAGCAACAAGCATTTATTGTGTACTTACTGAGTGCCTGGCACTGCGCTGCAACCTGGAGATACAAAGTAGGGAGAGCCAGCTTGTGACTTCAAGTAGTTTACATTCGAATGAGAGAGATACCTCCAAGGTACATAGAGTAAGTGGCAGGTAATCTTAAAGGAGGGGGGGCACTAGGTGGTGCCATAGTGCACAGGGTGCTGAGATTGGAGTCAGGAAGACTCATCTTCCTGAGTTCAAATCTGACCTCAGACACTTCTTAGCTGTGTGACCCTGAGCAAGTCACTTCACCCTGTTTGCCTCAGTTTCCTCATCTGTAAAATGACCTGGAGAAGGAAATGGCAAACCATTCTAGTATCTTTGCCAAAAAAAACCAAATGGTGTCATGAAGAGTCAGACACAACTGAACAACAGATCTTAAAGGGAAAGTTACTACAATTTCAGTCTTTCGTATGTAACTCCTAGGAGATGAGTAGCTAGATAGCTAGATAGAGCATTTATTATGTTCCAGGTCCCGCGTTGAGTACTAGGGATACAAATACAAGCAAAAAAGACAATCTTTAACTTCAAAGAGCTTCTGTTCTAATAAGGGAAGACCTCATGTACGAGGAAGCTAGAAAGAAAGGTCGAAGGACAAGGTGTGAGCACGGATGTCTTGGGCACATCATGAACCGGTGGTCTTGGACAGGGACCCACCAATCAGAGGAGGGGATGCTAAGGCAGAGGCATCTCCAGGGTCAAAAGGCAGCTGGTGAGGACACAGAAAAGTCCGGAGAATCTGGAATAGGATCCAAGTTTGACAATCACTCTGCATCTTTTTCCCTAGCAGTGGGGATAGACTGTACTCAACCGTGCACATCCTCTAACTCTTGTCTCTTTTCCAATCTATTCTATGGATCCAATCCCATTTTGCTCAAGTCCAGGCAATGAGTATTTGCTGTCCAGTCAGCCCAGTGCTGGTGCTGGGAGGAAAAGAGAAGGCACACAAAACAGTTAGGGAATAATTACAGGCAAGTGTTTAAATGAGCACAAGTCGATGCCATTCGGTATAGCAGAGACTGTAGACAACGGAAGGGAAGTGAGATCACAAGGTGCTGAGCTTTTCTGGAACCTACAAAATTGAGTAGAATTCACCCAGTATAAATTTGCAATGGATATTCTCAGCTGACTCTTAGTGTAAGCCTTCTACTCATTCTAATGAACTCTCTATCTCATTCCTCACAATGACCTGGTTTTTTTTTTTTTTTTAAGTGGATGTTTTTTTTAACATTAGTCATTTCCTATTATCTCATCACTTCTACTCCACTAAACTTTCCCTTGTAACAAAGAAAAATCATTTAAAAAACGGTCAACAAAGAGACCACATCTGACAGTCTGAAACATTCCTCAGCCCTAGACCTCTCCCTTCTATTAAGCCTCCCTGGGAGGCTATGCAACCTAGAAAAAAGAGCGCTGACTCTGAAATCAAAGGAACTGCATTCAAATTCTGCCTTTGACGCTCATTACTCATAGGACCTTGGGCAAGTCACTCCACCACCTTGGTTGGACTAGACAACCACTGAGGCCCCTTCCAATTCTAAATGTATGATCTATGCCCTGGAGCTGAGATTGCACGTTGAGCTAAGTTTAGGGATCTTTTAGTGCTGTTTTCATTTATATCGTTCTAGGCATTTTGTATATTGTTTACTTCATCCTGCCATGACTTATGTAGATCTCCCCATTCTGGAAGGGCTTTGAGTATAGCCCTGGAAACAGACTGTGTCTGCTTTCTGAGGGCCAGACTAGTTAAGTACTAAGTCGCTCACCATCACAGGCCACCCTCTTGGGGCTGAATTCTTTGACTGTGGCAACCTGAAAACAACATCAGCCTATCCTATCTAAACTGTGCATCCCCAGTACCAAGTGCTCTGCACACAGCAGGGATTTAACAAATGTTTGTTGATTGAATGAATGGACTAGTAAATTTAATAGCAAGCACTTATTTTGTCTAGCTTATTTTGTAGCCCTGGGGATACAAAGACAGGAAGGAAACATCCCTGCCTCCAAAGAGCATACATTATACAAAGGAATACAATATGTCCTCATAAGTAAATACAATGTAATTTGTGCAGGAAGATGACAATGAATGAATGAATGAATGAATGAATGAATGAATGAATGAGAGGTGTAGGAAGAAGAGGAAAACAGGAAGGCAGAGGAAATGAGATGAGAATGCATGTGAAGAAGACAAGAGATGAAAGGAGTGCAGAGATCAATTTGGCAATAATAAAAGATGCCTCTTTGGGCATTTTCCTAGGATATTGGCTAGAGAAGTTATCAGTAAGCAAATGTTAACTGAGCACCCACTATATGCCTGGCACAGAGAAGAAGACATGGGTTGTCTCTCCCTTAAGGATCTTCTTCCACCAGTTAGCTCTGCCATGATGGCTAGAGAGGTCATGAGTCTTGACATGTTAGGAGCTCTGTTGGGATGAGATTTGGAAATGAGCCCAGTTCACTGTGGCTACTGATATTCTCTCATATAACAGGTCTGCTGGGTCCCAAGGGTGATACTGGTGAGATGGGTGTTCCAGGAGTTGAAGGTCCCAGGGGGTTTCCCGGACTTCCAGGGAAGAAAGGGGAACCAGGAGAAGCAGCCGACAGGTACCGCTCAGCCTTCAGCGTTGGGCTGGCCACCCGAGCCCCAGTCCCCAACGTCCCCATCCGCTTCACCAAGATTTTCTACAACGGACAGAACCACTACGATGTCACAACCGGCAAGTTCCGCTGTAATTTCCCAGGCTTGTATTATTTCTCCTACCACATCACAGTGTACATGAAGGATGTGAAGGTCAGCCTCTTCAGGAAGGACAAGGCAGCCATATTCACCTACGACCAATTCCAGGACAAAAATGTCGACCAGGCCTCAGGCTCCGTACTATTGTACCTGGAGAGTGGGGAGGAAGTCTGGCTCCAAGTGTATGGGGATGGAGAGCAGAATGGTCTCTATGCAGATAACGTTAATGACTCCATTTTCAGCGGCTTCCTTCTTTATCACGATGCCGATCAATCTTGACCTCAGAGAACACCAGAGAATGCACTCAAGCATCTCCTTTGAGAAAATCTCAACTTTCACAACTCTGATCTACTTTATCCACGAGTTTGGCTTTATTTCCTAATTGGAGACACTGAACCTTATTCATTCACTTACTCACTCATTCATTCATTCAATATATTTTTTGGTTACCTGAATTTGCCTCTTTGGTTACCTAAATTTGCCCAGCCCAGTATCAAGTGTTGTAGGACAGACAAATAAGGGATGAGGCTATACTTGTAGTCAGTCGCATGGGAAATTCACAGTTTAGTTGAGGGGCAACAAGATTTAAATGCATAAAAAAATCACTAAGAATGCAAGAAAGTGTCAAGCGATTGGTATAAAGGTGAAGACAGGTATTCATGGCCACTTTGAGGCCTCCTTCTAATAGGAAATATTTTCTCTTCTTCACAATGGGCGTATCTGAACAAGTGCCATCATGAGTAATGTCCTTACCTAACAACTCCCCTTCAGAGAAGATAGTTTCATCCCCTGGTCCTAATTCTCCCATTAGGTCAAAAAATGTAAGAGAATTGGCCTCTTTCCACATAGTCACCTTCTTTTTTATATCCACACCTGCCACCTCCTCAGGATAATGAATCTAGAGTGAAAAAGGCCTTAGATGCCATAAGTCTAATCCTCTTCTTTTACAGATGAGGAAACTGAGGCTTAACTTGCTGGACTAATACTTTTTCTAAGATTTTCACCAAAGCAGAAGCTGATAGCGTTCTATAAATGTATACAAACTGATGCCTTGACTTTGACTCACATTTTAAATTCTGGGTAATTCCTAAGCACACACCTAGAATGATACAACTAGAGGCTTGTCTATTCTTTGCCTTTTCAAAATGTTTGACTATTCTCATTTCTACAATTAAACTCATCATTAGCACAAATAAAAGCTTTGGAAATCAATTATTTGCAGCTTCATTTCTGGGGGGAAAGTTTTAGAAAGGATGGAAGGCAAAGCGATTAACATGGAAATGTTTCACATGATTGTACATGTATAACCTTTATCAGTTTGCTTGCCTTCTCGTGGAGGGGGAGGGAGGGAGGAAGGGATAGACTTTGGAACTCAAAACTTAAAAAAAGATGTTAAAAATTGTTTTTACATATAATTGGGGGAAAATAAAATCTATAATTTTTTTAAATTTAAAGGATGGAAGGAAAGGAAAAAACCTAGCCTTTTGTCAGAAGCTCAAGATGGCATTACACTCAGAAAGAAATCACTAGAGATTTCCTCAGGGCTTCTAACAAGGAGAAGTGTAACCAGTGGTATTCTACCTTTCATATCTTTCTGTCTGAGCTCCCATGGGGTAAAACAGTCTACTTTCTCTGGCTACTCTTTCACAGTGTGCCACTGATATGGACCGAGGATCACATTGCACCTAATAATGTTCCAAAGTGGAGGGGGCATTTCTTTCTTCCTTTTTCAAAAGTAGTTTTTAACTAGCTGTGTGACCCTAGGCAAGTCACTTAACCCCAATTGCCTAAGAAAAAATAAATAAATAAAATAAAATAAAATAAAAGTAGTTTTTATTGTTTTCTTGTTTTTCCATCGTAATAATTTCCCATTAACCAACTTCTACACATTGAATCTTCTCTTTTAACGAACAACACAACGAAAAATGTTTAAGCCGTGGTAAGTGACACAATATCTGTGTTTCACATTCTAGATTGCATTTCCTACCTGTGGTCTCCACCTCTCTATTGAGAGAAGGAAGCTGAGTTTCCTTACCAAATGAGATAATGCATGTGACTCTTTGTAAAGCTTAAGTATCATATAAATGTTCACCTTGGTGTTATCAGTTCTCCAGGACCAAAATTGTTTATTACAATTCAATTGCTTTTAGTGTTATCATTTAATTGTTATCATCATTCTAGTCATTATCATCATCAGCATAATTTTATCTTGGTTCTGCTTTCCTCACTCTGCATTACTCCATCTACACCCTCCCATGTTTCTCTGAAATCCTCACAGTCATTGCTTTTTATGGTACGGTCATATTCCACGAGAGTCATAAATCACAGTTTGTGTGGCCATCCACATCAACAGGACCTACTTTGGCTTCCGTTTTTTTTGCTACCCCAAAGAAAGCTTCTAGGAACACTTTTATAAGGACAGTCTTTGTTTCCTTCATTGACCTCTTTGGGGTATTTGCCCAATAATGAAGAAAAAGTTATTTCTTTGATATGTTTTCTTTCCCTCTGAACCACCAAGACTTTAAAGGCTAGAATATGAGATCAAAGCATCAGAGGATCATAGATTTAGCCCTGGAAGACTCCTTAGAGGCCGTCAAATCCAACACCCTCATTTTACAGATAAGGAAACTGAGGCACAAAGAAGTTAAATGATTTGCACGGTGTCAAATAGCTAGTAAGTTTGGGAGGATGGATTTGAACCCAGGTCTTCCTTGCTCCTGGTCCAGGGCCCTATTCATTATAGCATGTTGCTTCTCATATCCACAGGTCTGTATGTGACTTCAGATACCATGGCTATATACGTAGTCATCTGATAAAAAAATTCACTCCAAAAATTCACATTTCATCTCCATGATACATGTTCGACCACATAATAGAACCTTTGCAAATATGTGAAGATTGCCTTTTTGTGAAGTTTTCGTCCAGTTTGCATTTTGCAAACATGACTCCAGATCTAAGTATAGAGCTAAGATCAAGGCCCGTCACATGGGCCACTTTTTTTTTTAGTCAGTGAAAACAGGAAAATGCAGGTGCTTCCCTCCCAAACAGCAGTGCAAGTAGAATCCTATTTCAAATGAATTAAGGGATTTAGCTAAATGAAATACTGCATGTCAGGTTCATTGTAAACCTTCAAGTGCCAATGTCTCAGATTATTGTTACTTAAAGCGCTGGATAATTTTACCAAAAAATTGCCAACCTATAATGTTTTCAGTTCAGATTTTTTTGCCATATTGGGTTTTCTTCTAATTTTTGGTTCTCCCTGACAAATGACAAGGAGAAAACACAACTATTCATAGGATCATAGATTTATAGCTGGAAGGAATCTTGGTGTCAGCGAGTCTAAGCCCCTCATTGTACAGATGAAGAAAATGAGGCACAGAGGGGTTAAATGATTTGCCTGGTCCTTACTGGAACACACTATGAATGCTGAATAACAGAATAAGAGCGTTCTCCATCTCTTCTCTCTAATGTGTAATTTGGTGTCTGGAGTGGGGGGTGGGGAGAAGCTACTCTCTCAGCCCATTTATCTACCTCCAGTAAGAAAGGTCCCCACTGGAACTGAAAGACTAAATTAAGACCTCCCAGTATCTCACGTGCCCAAGAATTCATCAGCTGCAACAGCTAAGGAAAATGCACAGATCAAAGGAATCGAGGAGGATGAAGAACTGGAAAGAGAGGCCATCACCTAGAAAGTGAAGCCCCAAAAGCTAAATTAGGGGTTGACGAAGAGAGGAAGACTAAGGGTCAGCAGATACTGACTTATTCAAGGCAGGAGGATGACCTGCCCCTACAATGTACAAAAGATGATCGATCTATCTGAATGGGGTGAACCTCCTCTGGACTGGAGACCACTAAGTGAATGGAGTAGAGGGTGGGCTTTGAAGAGTCATGGGGGGAGCAAGAAGCATGCCTGCTCTTCCTTGAGCCAGGGAGAACAAATGATGGGCATCCAGTGCTGGAGAAGGCACCTTTTTCCTCTCCTTTAGGCTCTGTCCCAGTGAGGCTGTATCAGATACAATGAACTTCAACACAGGCCATCAAATTGGTGTCCATCTCACACTAACTTCCATGTGGCTTGACAGCCCCAGTCATCTGACAAAAACACAAATATTTGAAGGATCATTGATTTAGGGCTGCAAAGGATCTTAGAGGTCATTGAACCCCATTTTATGTATGAGAAAGTTGAGACATAAAGAGAAAGAAGGAAATGAGGATTTGTGAAATGCTGACTCTGCTAAGCACTGTGCTAAGAGAGGTTGCCTAAGGTCACACAACCACTAAATATTTGAGGTAATATTTGAACCCAAGTATTTCTGATTGCATATCCAATGCTCTTTCAACAGTAACACAAGGCCACTCATTCCGAAATTCACTAGTTTTGCTATGATAGTGAGGGACTCAACGTACTCCTTTTGGATCTACGTAAATCTAACAAAAATTAACAAGAAAGAAGTTAATGACCCATATAGAATCTTTAAAAAGTTATATATGATAAATCTCTGATTATTGAATAGGAAGAGAAAGGAGTATACATATCCTTAGAGGTATATGTCACCTTTACAAAAACTAACCATGTATTAGGGCATAAAAACTTCACAAACAAATACAGAAAAAGAGAAATATTAGAAATATCCTTTATTGGCTACAAAGCAATAAAATTACATTCAATAAAGGACCACTGAAGGAAGGGAAAAAATAAAACAAAATTCACTAATTTTGTTTCCGTGATACATGCTTGACTAAATAATAGGATGAATGTTTGGAAATACTTAGGTATTTTGGTTTTCAGTTCTCATCCAGATGTTTGGCATCGTGTAGACACGGCCCTTGATTTACATCCGTCTCTTGTGCAAGATTTATTTAAGTGGGTAGAAAATGAATATGCAAGTACCTTCAAACTTTATGCAAAAGGTGTGTTTCCAAATAGCTGTGTAAATTGAATCCAATTTTAATGTACTAAGAAATTTAACTAAAGCCTTGCATAGCCGTGGAAATAGGAAAGATTAGAATGGCATAGTCCCTATGCTCCAGGACTTGACAATCTAGTTGTGGCCATCTAACAGATGTCCTGATAAGTGAAATGTCCCATCACTACTATGTCCTGATTTCTTCTTTCTGTCCAGGTGGGATGTAATACATTCTGACAATCCTGACAATCCTCTGTTTTGACCACTATAATCAATCCTCAGTCATAGAGTACGAGCTCTTTGAGGACAGAGACCAGTCTATTCTTGACTTTGTATTTTCCAATGCCCTAGTACAATGCCTGGCACAGAGAGGGCACTTTGCTAATGTATTGCTGACTGGTAGGACAATAATACAAGGTCCCAGAAATCCATCGTTACATATAGAAGTAATCAGAACTGGTCGTATTCAGTGTCAAGGGTATTTTTAGACATTAGGAAATTAAAAGTGATCTCTTTTCAAGACAACCATCCTTGCAATGGGCATCCTGTGTTTAGTAGGGAGCCAGAAATATTCAGTAACACAGGTAAGCACGTGCCAAGTAGAAGACAATCTATTGCCAACATTCACATCCTGGAGGGAAAGGGAATATATAGAGAGCACGAAGAACCCCACCAGCAGTCCACTAACACTGCAGATGTGCTACAATGGACCTATTGTTCAGGAGGGCCAGAACTATGTCGTGAATTCCAGAAAGGCTTAGAAAGCCAGGTCACTCTTCTGACTTGGGGGATGCCAAGCTCTGCCCTTTCCATAACCTGCTGGGTCAATCTGCAGTTGTGCTCTGCCCTTTCTTACTATGGGAATCAAAGGCAGAGAGTTTATTTTCTCTGTTCATGTCCTGAGTGAGGTACAAGAAAGTTCAGGAAAACTGACATTCATGTGTGCACGTACAGGAACCTGAGGCCAACTTACCCTAGGTCAGAGAGAGTTGCCTTTGAAGATACTCAAATCCATGCTCTGCTGACAGCTTGTCAGAAGGCATTTTTCTCTTCCTCCCTCCCTACTCCCCCAAACTAGAGGACTATAGCTGAGAAGAAAGCACGGCAGCCAATAACCACGTATAGGATCGAGGAGTTCGGCTGTGTCCTACTCTGTGTGACCCCATGGACCATACTGTCCACTGGATTTTCTTGGCAAAGGTTTGGAGTGCTTTGCCATCTCCTTCTCCAGTGGATTAAGGCAGAGGTTAAGTGACTAAGCTAGTAACTGTCTAGG